AAAACAAAAACAAGATTGTTGGATGAACAACACAAACTTGAAGCATTTAACATAATAGAAATCTAGTTCACCATTTAAATGGTGAAATTACAATTAACTTTTTTGAATGGCAATATTAAGCTTGGAGTAACTACAAAAGTCATATGACAATCAAAATCTAGTTCACCATTTAAAACTTAATTGTAATTTCATAACAAGATTTCTTCTTTCATTAACTCATGTTGAAAAGTTGGATGAATAAATATAATAAAAAGAAAGTTAATGAAACGTTGGGTTCAATTTTACCAAACATTAAGTAAATTTTGGGATTGCCAATGGTGTTTTAGCAGTCCTTTGAGAATGCATTATCGAACTAGTTACAATAACAAGCACGTTGATAATTTTGGGGAATAAAGACTTAATATTAGAACTATTCCTCCAAATATGAATGCATGTCATGTTGCAACCACAGTTAAAGGAAACATGAAAATATCACTGGCCATTTTAAACAAGTAGGTGTAGTCGAAAGTGTTTAGTTTACATTAGTAGTTAACATATATTTAATAATCACGATGTATTCATGCACCTTACTCACATTATCAATTGTCTATTTAATTTGTACTTAAGTTTATTTATTTTGATCGGGGAAAATTAAGATAACAATTTTTTTATTATCATCAAAAGTTTATAAGATTCCATATGTTTTGTTATTTATTTCATAGATCAACAACATTTGTTGCTTATATTTTTTTATTTTTCTCATTCTTTAACATGGTTAGGGATTTGTGGTGTAGCATCCATTTTAGATTTAAAAATTTTCGTAGCACAAGAAATATAATAAAAGAATTATATTTGCTTGGTAGTGGATGTAACATAAATTATGTACTTTTAAATTATGAACTTTCTCATTCGGCATTTCTAATGATGAAATTTTCCTTTGCTAATGTCAACAATCAATGCTTCTATGACTTAAGAGATACTATTTTGATCATCATTAATATTTTCTACATGTACAAATAATTAGTCTCCAGGTTATTGTTGGACTCCGTGACCACTTCACTCCGTGATGTGATCGAATGCATAGAAAATAACTAAAGAATGATAGATGACACTTGAAACACTAGGCAAACTATGATTAATACGCACCACACTAATTAGAATCAATTATTCATCTCTAAGGATAACAAAATAAATTGTTGATATGTCTCTCTGCCTACAAGCCACCAACCAAAATTTGTAAGTCTCGTCAACATCCCCTACTTCTAATTAAGCCACCAACCTGTCATAATAACTAGCATTAGCCTTAGACTTATTCAAAGGTGTTCTCGAATGGTTGGGAGGGGTAATTAATCAGAGAGGATTACACTCATGGAAAATTTTGAAATCCATATTTTAATGCCCTCACAAAATGAAGATATATTCTTTGAGTACCATCTTATTTACAATCTAATATGCTTCCTAAAAATTTTGGCATGTACCATCAACATAAAGCTTTTAGTCGTTCGAGGGAGGGCATGACACTCATTTTTTTAGCCAATATTAATGTCTATCACAACCCGCTCGTTGAGCTTGATAGCAATCATAATAACCCAACAAGTGGGTATAATGTTAAAATTAAGAAATATTTCAATCAGTATAAATGTACTTTCAAGAATATTTGCATCCACATAAGGCCTTCATCGCATTAAATTAATTACACATATTAATATCCACTATATTGTTTATAAAAATAATTATATTATTGAATTAATTAAAGAATAATAACTTTAAGCACCATAATGATATAGTTAAAGCATGTAGCTAAAATCTCTTATAGATGGCGCATGTCTAGTAAAATGATTATTTCTGCGTAAAGGTGAGTTTGTAAAAGATAAACTTTATATATGAAACAAAATTGGGCTAGACATATTTGTCAAAGCAAGAGATATAAATATGAGCAATAAAAATGATCTAAATAAATGTAAATATGATGTTATAATTGTTATAAATAATATATAAATAATTAATTTTTAAAAGTAAATATAATTTAATATTGATTATCAACAACATAGTTCTTAATTAATAACCTATATCAATTGATATCCACATTTTCAAATGTCAATTTATTCACTTCTTGGATTCTATATTTAAGTTTCATAAAAAATTCTTCAACCATTTAATAATAATAATATTATTATTATAATTATCATGTTTTAAAACTAGAAAAAATAGACATTAATCTAAGAAAATCCAATGATTTTCTTATAGAGTTGTCATTAATGGGCTTGTGAGCCTCGTATAATACATACATCATATACATGAGCATGCCGCATATAAAATTTTATTACAATAAAAGCTTTTAGCAACGATAATAAAATAATCAAACTTAATTACATATAAATGTAATTCATGATTATACAAGCAATGAGTCTTTTCTTAGCAGTCAAATTAATATATATGAATTGTGGTCTAAAATTAAGAAGACTAGTTAGGGATGGTGAGTATTGAAAATTTAAAAATTTTATTCTCATTAAATTATTAAAACTATCATAAAGATTTTATCAAATTAAAAGTATAATTAATATTAAATAATTATTAAATATTGAAGTTTAAGGGGAGAAATATTTAGTGTATCATATAAGATTAAAGAGATTGGCAATAATTTAGACGGTGGTTGTTGACATCTTTTTTAATGAGGTTAACACATCTCATTCATATTCTTAGCCTATGATCAAGTCTTAGCCAAGAAGCTCCCATATATAAATTTTAATAAATTTTCTTGTTAACTATATGGATTGTAAAATAAACGTTAAGCTCAGAATCAACAATCTTCTTTGGTTCAAAATGAATTTAAGTTTGCCCTTAACTCACTTGGAGTGAAGTTTAGCCGACCACAATTAGCTCATTAAGAACCAAGGGATAAGAAAAATAGACCCTTATGACTTGAGGAATTGTTCAGATACTAATATAATCCATAGATCTTAATACTCAAAGCTCAATCATATGCCTTATAAATCTTTGAGTGAGCTCAAGGATATAACTTTTAGCTCACTTTTTGGTGGGTTGACCTAGTTGACCTAATTTGATTTTATTTAAGTGAAAAAAAAAGTCAAATTGGGACAACACACCATAAAGTGTCTTAAGGTTATTTGACTTAGAAAACCTTTAGTGACTTTATGTGATCCACTAAAACAATTGAACTCAACCACACGTGTGTTTGGTCTCTAATGACCTTAAACAATTTATTCGTTATTATAACCATACTTAGGTTGAGCCCAAAGTCTCCAAAATCTAAGGATTATCCTACTTTACTTAGTAGAACGCCCTTAAATCTCTTGAAACTATATGCTAAATCAATCAAATTGAATTCAGCCAAATGTTGTGGAAGACTTGACTTAGCTATCAAACCCAAAAGTTGAATCAAACATATTCAAATTTTGCCACTTGTTGTAGTTAACATGAATATCACACTTTAAGAGGAAGTTAAGTGAAACACACATTAAGTGAGCTAAATCAAATCTAAACAAAATTAAATAAAACATAAATTATTTTTTCACTTAATTCATTCAATTAAAATTTAAACTAAAATAAAAGGCTAAATCGGGCTTGTAAGCCCATTAGACTCACATGACTCATACATTCTAATGAAACGAGAGCACTTTGATTCAAAATCAAATGAACATTTAAATTAAACATCAACTCATTTAAAATGAAATTTTAATTAGTTACACTTTAATTGGACTAATGGGCCCACTTTTCCCCATATAGGTTAAAATTTATGTAACCCTAATTAAGACCTACTTTGTCAGTTGGGTTATTTGGCCACATTTGACCTAACTAGGTCATATTGCGTTAAATTCAAATTAAGCTATAATTAAATCAAATTTAGCATCAAAATAGTTTAAAACTATTATTTATAAATGATTAAAATCATTTAAAGCCTAATCTTGTCAATTGGGTCATTTGACTGTATTTTGACTCAAATGAATCATATTAACCTAAACATTATCCAATATTAGTTGAGAAGTAGGAAAGTAGTACATAGAAAGATATATGAAAAACACTACTTAGGGTTAGCATGCTATGAAATCACCTAACAATAAAAAAAATGAGGTGAGAACTAGAATCAAGACAAGTTCATAAATGACAAGAAGTTGGAATTTGAATAAGATGGATTAGCATCGCCATTTAAGGTTTAGTGAAGCAAATATAAGCCATATGATAACAAGTATTTTAAGAAAAAATTAATTGATTACAAGACTACGATGATTCATAATCAATAAAAAAAAATGATTTTAAAAAATAGAAAAAATTTGGGTTTCATATATGCAAATATAAAAGTTTCAGTATAAGACATATAAATACATAAGAATATTGTGTGATGTATGTAAATGTCCCCTCTAACATTTTACATTAATGCCACCTAAATTTTTTATATCGCACAAAAAATCTTTATTTTAATTAAAAAAATGAAATAAAAATTCATGAGAGACTTGTACGTAAACTTTTACTTTTATTAGGAAAAATGTACGTATAGCTTACCTTAAAAAACGGAAAAAGGGAAAGTGTCAATAATTGAAAGATGAATACAATAATTTGCGACCCACATCTAACGAATATTTCGGGCAAATGACTGGCCGTCCGGTGACCAATTAGATGTGGCTAAACGGATATTTATTATCTCCCTTTCATTCCTCCCTCTCTACCACTATATATCTCTCGCCCTCTCGTTAATGGATGAGCTGCCGTCAACTCAATTAACAATATATATAACAACTAAAGCTTGCCTTAAAAAACGGGAAAATTGAAAACGCTAAAATTGAAACGTGAACCGTACAATCATATGCGACCGGAATCTAATGAATATTTCGGACAAGTGGCTTGTCATCCGGTGAAACTGTTACTGTGAGCTAACACACCACCCATTCAATTAGATGTTGCTCGACGGAGATTTATTATCTCCCTCCTGCTCCTCTCTCGCTCCCATTTTGTCTCTCAACCTCTCGTTAACGGATGGAAATTGAATAGTTGCGGTCAATACATTCCTTCTTTTCCCTCTTCTTTGATATTGCACAGTGATCTCGCGGCTTCTTCATTCATTTTATTTATAGCATCTTGCTTCCTTCTTCTCCCTCATTTCTTCAACTCTTTATCGCGGTGTAACTCGTCTCCATGGTGGAGCTCTAGGACATGCATTTTTGCATTTCCTATCCTGAGCGTTGTGATTTCCCTCTCTTGGTTTTCCTCGTATTAATTCCTGTAATTTGTTGTAACTTGTCGTGTGTTCTTTGTTAACATCCATCAGGAATACCGTATGCTTTGGAGGTTATCACGAGATGGGTAGGGCGAAGCTTCAAATCAAAAAATTGGAGAGCAACAGTGCAAGAAATGCCACCTACACGAAAAGGAGAGCAGGAATTCTTAAGAAGGCCAAGGAGCTGTCCATCCTGTGCGACATCGAGGTTTTGCTACTCATGTTCTCGCCCAATGGAAACCCCACCTTATGCCTGGGAGAACAAAGGTATTTTTTTTAAACGAACATTAAAAATCAGAACTTCTGAACTATTTGATTCTGTCTATTGGGAGGCTTCAAATTGACATGTTTCCAACGTTATCTCACCCAAACTTCCATAAACAGCAAAATTAGATGATTCTTCTATGAGAGACGTTATTGAAAATAAACAACATCCAAGGATTAATTGATTTTATATTTATTATTATCTCGGATAATCTCCTTGCTGATCGGAGATAGAATTGGAAATT